AAAGGGGAAAGTGTTTTCTATGTCAGAAATAGCTTAAGACAAAGTGTCTGTGAGGGGTGGAGCCTGTTGAAAGAACTAAATGCCTGTGAAGGCAGATTCAGTGTTCTGTGGGGAGATAAAAGGCCACTGGAGTTCTCCCCAAGCTTCAGTCTAGGAGGAATGGATAAGATCCTGAAGTCATCATTGTTAGTCCTGGCCCTTCACCTAGCCTGTGAGTCAAGGAGGAGAAAATTCAGGATGTGTAATTAATGTGGAGGCATGAGGGAACAGGGGCACAGGACAAAATCATGAATGCTGACACCACAAGCAGGTAGTACAACCTGGGAAACTAATGACATTTGTTGTGTCTCTACACAGGGGTGAGTGGCCAGCAACAGGACAGACGTGACCAGCAGCAAGTGCAACAAAGTCCCCAATCTCTGACAGTCTGGGCAGGAGGGACTTCAGTTCTGAACTGCACTTATGAGGACAGCAGGTTTGACTACTTCCCATGGTACCGGCAATTCCCTGGTGAAGGCCCTACACTTCTGATAGCCATACGATCCGTGTCGAATAAAAAGGAAGAAGGAAGATTCACAGTCTTCTTCAGGAAAAGTGATAAACAGTTCTCCTTGCACATCACAGATTCTCAGCCTGGAGACTCAGCCACCTACTTCTGTGCAGCAAGTGCACAGTGCTCTCCAGGCACCTGCAGCCCATACCCAAACCCCAGCTGAGGCTCCAGCAAAAGCCCGCTGTGGGGCTGAGCCTGGCAGAGGTGCAGAGGGGTTTTATCTGCAGGAGCAGGTGACAGGGGACACAGTGAATGTAAGGATCAGATTCATTCAGGTCACAGACAGACCAAGGTGAAGTCAGGGCTCGTTTTTCTCCACTCTCCCTTTCCTCCTCAGGCACCACTGAAGTTTTAGATCCATTTCCTTAACTAGCTTAGTTGAATTGTTTTTAAGTGGTTGTACAAATGTTTTTTCTGTGTGGTTGGTTCACACCAAGTAGAAATTATAAAGTTCCCATCACCCTACACTCTTATCAACATGCTATTAATGTGTAGATATTACAGCACAGTGTCAGTCATTTTGTGCCTTATGTGATAGAAATCACATAGAATTATCTTTCACCTTAATCTCCTCTGATTACCAGGGAAGTGGTGATGTATGTGACCACTGACTACATCTAATTGCTCTTTTTTGCTTTTTATATTCCATCTACCTTCAAGAAATTCTTGTATGGAAACCAGGATGTACTTACAAGGATGCAGGTGTGTTTACAATAGACAAATGACATGTGTGAGGGAAAGAAGAATTCAATTTACTCATATCATGAAAATATATAATATTTCACTATATAATAATATGTAAAAATATAATATATTTCACTAAAGAACTATTGTCACAAGTGTATTTCATAGATGAACAAAATAAGATTTTGAAGGTGAAATTTTTAGCTAACAGAAACAGCTGCATTCTTTATGGCCATTACCAGTGCACAGAGTGGAAAAGGGACTTCTCATTGCCTAACACTTTGCAGTGTTTACTCACTTAATGCTACATACATACTAACAAAATTTGCACTGGAGAAAAATTTAATCAGCTTATAATTTTAAATGTTTTCATGGTACATAGTTGAAGGTTGTGGGAGCCCTAACTACCTAGGAAGCCAAGTCAGGAGGCATGGTTGAGCCTAGGATTGGAAGTCTAGCTGAGTCACATAGTGAAACTTTGTCTGACAAAACCTAATCCAGCCAAAACAATGTAGAAGATATTTAACTTAAGCATGTAAAGCCTGCAAGCTCTCCTTCCTATCCACAGTGAG